ATATTGGAATGATGTTTTCCAAGTATAGTATTGCCAAGGAGGTGTGGGATTATTTACTAAGTGCTTATTAACAGTCCAACTTTGCCAAGCGGTATGAGTTGGAAACAGCTATTCAGAGTGCTCGTTAGTAAGATCAGACTATTCAAGACTTCTATATTGAGATGACAGGTTTTTGGGATCAGTTGGCTCTTATGGAACCACCTTCTCAAGATACTAGACACTTATACTGAGTTTCGGGAGTAAGGTCGTTTAGTGCAGTTCTTAACGGCTCTCTCCCCTCAGTATGAGTCTATCCGAGGTGGCATCCTTTACCGGTCTTCTCTTTCTTCTGTGGATGCTATTGTTCACGAGCTCTTCTCCGAGGAAACCCGTCTTAAGACGACTAGTCAGACTCTGCCTTTCTCTATCTTCTTGGCTCCTGCTAAGCCTCTTTTATTATAGACTCCACTTCCTCATCAGCTGCAGGCTACTGCAAAACCCAAGAAAGGACCATTAGGTCCAGATGAGTGTGCTTTTTGCCACCAGAGGGGTCGTTGGAAGAACGACTGTCCCAAGAAAGGACATTAGTCTGCTCCGACACAGTTCCGCCGTCCTACTTTGGGTACTTTCTGACCTCCTGCCGCTTATACTATACCTACTCGGGCTCCCGATCCTAACTTGGTACCCTTGAGTGCTCAAATTGCACAACTTCAGCATATCCTGTCTATCTCTCAGCCATCCCCATCTGCCTCCGCTCTTACCTCTCTTCATTCAGGTTTGCTTGGATCCTCTTCAGGTATCTCTTCTTTTGTCTGGCTTTTTGATTCTTGTGCCTCTCATCATATGACTCCTCACCTTTCCTTACTTCAGAACTGTATTCCCCCACCGGTTCCTATTACTATTAATATTGCTAATGGGTCTGGTATGTCTGTTCTGTCTATTGGGTCTGTCTTACCCTCTGCCATGTCTTCTGTTACTATTTCTTCTGTTCTTTATGTCTCTTAGTTATCTGTCAGTTTATTATCCATTAGTCAACTTGATGCATCTGGTCTTGATATTATCTTTTCCTCTTTTGTCTATTATGTGTAGGATCGGAGGTCCAAGAAGTATATTAGGACCGGCCATAGAATTGGAGATCTCTATATGGTCGAAAGCTTGCATCTCTCCTTATCCACCTCTCCAGCTGCACTTTCCTCGTTTCAGTTAGATTCTCAGTCGAGTCAGTTTTACTCATGGCATTCTCGCCTTGGTCATTTGTCTGTCGACTGTTTATGGTCTTTAGCTCAGTTAGGGTTGTTAGGTAAAGTTTCTCCTAATTAAATTGATGAATGTCAAGGGTATAAACTTGCCAAAATGTCAGTTTTACCATTTAATAAAAGTACATCTATTTATGTTTCTCCTTTTTCTCTTGTGTATATTGATGTTTGGGGACCCTCTCCTGTTCTTACTAAAGGGGGTTTTGCATACTATGTGTCTTTTGTTGATAATTGCACCCGTTACACTAGGGTTTATTTTATGACTCATAAGTCTGACTTCTACCAGATATACTGTACTTTCCAATCTATGGTCACTACACAGTTTGGGTCTACTATTAAATTGTTGCGGTCTGACTTTGGCGGGGAATACTTTAAAACTGAATTCTGTGAATATTTGGCCAAATTAGGTACCATTTACCAAACTTCTTGTACTGATACACCTGCCCAAAATGGTCGAGCTGAGCGTAAACACCGTCATTTCCTTGAGACAGCTAGGTCTCTCCTTCTCTCTGCCTCCGTTCTGGTTTCATTTTAGGGTGAGGCAGTTCTTACTGTTGCTTTTCTTCTCAACCGTATGCCTACCCCCATTCTTTCTAGTCAGTCTCCTTATGAGGCTCTGTTTTCTCAACTTCCTAATTACTCCATCCTTTGTGTGTTTGGGTCCGCTTGTTTTGTCCTTTTACCTCGTAAAGATAGGACCAAACTTAGTGTCCGGTCTGTCCTATGTGTCTTTTTGGGTTATAGTCTCACTCAGAAAGATTATCACTGTTATGACCCTGTTTCCCGTTACCTTTATGTCTCCCGCCATGTTGCCTTTCTTAAACGTCTACCTTACTTTCAGCTTCCTCCTCTCACCGCCTCAGTTTCCAAAGAGGATTTGGTTCATATCGATCCATTTCCTTTTGAGGTCCCGTCTGATGAGTACATCTCCACAGTTCCTCCTGAGTTTGTTCCATCTTCTCCTCCTGCTTCACCTTTGGCTGCTTCTCTTCCTTCGGCTTCTTCTCCTTTTTCGTTGTTAGTTTATTCTTGTCGCAAGGCTCCTCCTCCACCAGTTGTCTCTGCCCCTGCTACTGATCCTCCTGCTTCTAACAACTCTAATCCTGCTGCACACCGCTATCCTCCTCGAGTGCGTCATCCTCCAAACAAGTTGGGTTAGTCTAATACATGTTTTTCTGTTTCTTATCGTACTTTTTTGTCTGCTATTCACTCTTTTGCAGAACCTCAGTCTTACAAGGAAGCCTGTTAGGATCCTCATTGGGTTCAAGCTATGAAGGATGAGTTTTCTGCTCTATAGAAAACTAGTATTTCGAAGTTGGTTACTTTGCCTGCTTGTAAGAATTTGGTTGGTTGCAAATGGGTCTGTAAAGTCAAGACTCATTATGATGGTTCTCTTCAGCGCTATAAAGCTCGTCTGGTTGCCAAAGGTTTCTTTCAAGAGTATGGTATTGATTTTGAGGAGACATTTGCTCTTGTTGCCAAGATGACTACTGTCCGTACTTTTATCTCTGTTGCTGTTATTCGTTCTTGGCCTCTTTATTAGATGGATGTTAAGAATGCTTTCCTTAATGGCCATCTCACTGAGGAGGTTTACATGCGTCCTCCCCCTGGCCTTCACCATTCCTCTAGCCAGGTTTGTCATCTTCGGCGTGCTTTGTATAGTCTAAAGCAGTCTTCTCGTGCTTGGTATGATCGCTTTTAGACTGCTTTTTCCAAGCTTGGGTGTCATTCTTCTACTTACGACTCGGCTTTATTCCTGAGGCATACCTCCGCTGGTTTTGTTGCTCTCTTACTATGTGTGGATGATATGATCATCACTGGCTCGGACTCTTCTACTATCTCTGAGGTCAAGCAGCATCTCTTCCGCACCTTCGAAATGAAGGATCTGGGACCATTGCGGCATTTTCTTGGTATTGAGGTGGCTTCTTCTTCGAAGGGTTACTTTATGTCCCAGGCTAAGTATGCCAACGAGATTATCCGTTGTGCCAGTCCGACTGACACTAAGCTGTCTGATACCCCCATTCAGCTTAATATGAAGCTCAACACTACTGATGGTGTTCCTCTAGATGATTCTAAGTTATATCGCCAGCTTGTGTGTTGCTTAGTCTATCTGACAGTCACTCACCCCGATCTTGTCTATGCTGTCCATGTGATTACTTAGTTTGTTTCTACTCCTCGCTCTACACATTGGGCTACTTCAATTCGGATTCTTCGCTATCTTCGCAGTACTATCTTTCTGGGCTTGCTATTCTCTTCTACTTTTTCTTTAGACTTGGTGGCCTATGCTAATGCTGATTGGACTGGTGATGTTAATGATCGTAAATCTACTTTTGGTTTCTGTATGTTTCTTGGCGATTCCCTGATTTAAAAGTAAGAAACAAACTGTTGTTGCCTATTCTACTGCCGAAACTGAGTATCGTGCTATGGCTCATCCTACTGCTGAAATTATCTGGTTTCGTTGTCTTTTATCTTACTTGGGCGTCCCTCGGTCTTCCTCGACCTCTCTTTTCTATGACAACCGAAGTGCTATTCAAATTGCTCATAACACTATCTTCCTTGAATGGACAAAGCACATTGAGATTGATTGTCATTTCGTCCGTCAGCATCTGCAGTCTGGCTTTATCTCGCTTCCTTTTGTCTCTTCGACTCTGCAACTTACTGACTTCTTCACCAAGACTCACACCACTGCTCGGTTTTGATTTTTTCTTGACAAACTCTCAGTGTTTTTTGCTAAAACACCTTGAGTTTGAGCAGGGGTGTAAGAATATGCCGATATTTAGTTTCTCCTTTTTCCTTTTAGGCTTAGGAATTAGAGGTATATTAGAATTCTATATCAGTGATGTATTCGTTTAGGCTTAGGAATTAGTGTTCTATATAAGTGTCAACCCCTACCTTACAGGTGATGACAAGTGCCAGCAGGCATGAATGCTAGACATGCTATTCTTTGTGTTTATCTTTTTGAGAATGTTAGCGCAGGCCATAGGATAATTGGGCCTGCGTTCCTTATTATTTTGGATGTATTTTACTGTAAATTACTTCATGGTTTGTAACTTAAATATTGTATTTTTTTTTCCTTTTGTATTATGAAGTATTTATTTTCATTTACACCGGGATGTGTGCCGAATGAGATTGAGCCATTGCATTGAGAGAACTTCACCATTTTAGACCAAGACTGTGATTTTTCAAAAAACTATAGAATTGGACATATTTACCAATGCAACTGGATTTTATCAAAAGTTCATCTATTTTCTCATTTTAAAGTAAAATAATGACAATAAGAGGAAATGAAGCATATTTTTTGAGTTTAATAAAATAATCGCTCAAGGGCATGTTTCACGAGGCAAATCAAAATTTTGGCAAACTTGAGGAAAATGGCTAAGTTGATTTGAGAATGGATAAGGATAAAATGGATACTTCTATTAAAAGATCATGTTTAAGTTAATTAGTTTGTGCCTAATTAACTTCTTAAAATCTGGGGCGTGACATGTTTGTACCAGTGCACGTTTCTACTTATAAATGGCTGATGAGCTTGATATTCTAAGTTATATTGTTAATGTTTGCTTCTTTTAGACGAAAAACTGTAGTAAATGTATTAGATCGAGCAACTACCATATTATCACATCCTCTTTTGGAGTTGTAATTTTATTCTAAATAGTGGTTCTTTTATGACTTGGGAGAAGTTAAAGTTTGTTGTGCATTATTGTTTACTGAATTAAACTCTGTTGATTGGAATTCCATTACATGAAAATCAATTTGTTTGTGCAGAAGTTGGGCGTATTGGTATTGGTATTTGTTATGACATTCGGTTTCAGGAACTGGCGATGTTATACGCAGCGAGAGGTTTGTTTGGTCCCTTAAATTTTTTTATTATTGATGTTCCTTCTTTGCCATGTGATTATCATTGGTTATAAACATGTAGTTTCATGTAGATGATCACTTACATATGTGTAGACTTTTTGTCACTTTAGCCGAAAACATTCACAGTGAACATGGAGCAATTGTCAATTTCTTAGAGGCTGTCACCTCAAAAGCCAACAAACAGTAATTTTCAAATGGTGAGTGCAAAGAATACATGTGGCTAAAGGAAACAGCTGGTGTTAAGAGCTGTAACATTAAGGCCTCTGAATCTCTCGTCTTTGAGGTGAGAGTTTCATTGCTAAAGGCCTCCTATCTATATTTCTCTTGCACATTCTTGTTGTGTAAGAGGAAGGTATTCCCAGATGGTTCTGTTTTAATAAAGTTAAATATTGTTGTACTTTTTTAATTTTTATTCTTTGATCTCCATGGCTGTAAGTTGTTCATTCATTTTACAATCAATTTTTCTGTGACGTCACTCTTTGGTCTCATTGAGTTCATCACATTTTCTAGGCTTATTCCTTTCCTCAATGTAATAGTTTTTGCCACGATGCCATTTACTAGGATAAAATTATTGTGTTTTTGAATCATAATATATGATTGTTACCTTCCTTCTGTGATTCTGCTTCAGGCAGTTCAGTACGTTATTGGACCCTTTTCTTTGACATAGTTGTTGAATTTGTATTACACTATATATGTTGATTGCAATGCTTTTAACAGCCAGGGAGAATGAACATTGTCAGTACCACTTGTGGACATCAGGTGCTCATTTGATCTGCTATCCTGGTGCATTTAACATGACAACAGGACCATTGCATTGGGACTTATTGCAGAGGGCAAGGTAAAAATATGTTTTAGTGATTGGCACTGAGATGTTTTCCTCAAGAACTTTGCCGTTTTATGCCCTCTTGATATTTTAATGCCATCAAGTCACAAGTCATTGTTAGCCTATTCCTAGATTTCATCCTCATGCTTAATTATGTTCTCAGAATTGGGATTGCAACGCATCTAGGCCATTGATTGATCTGCTAAGATTGCATGGAAAATGTCCAAAATTGTTAAATTGATTATGGGATATTGTTTCATCAATTAAATCAGATGTTGAGAATTTTAAAAGTAGTTGCTGAAGAGATGCTTTCTCTATGGCATTGTTTGTCATAAAGTTTGTGTTTGGAACACACACATAATGATTTAGGGAGTTTGAATTGGTGGCATGAGTGTATCCTTTCCTTGGTGTCTCTGTGTTTTGTCAAACAATTATTTATGTTGTAGGTTATACAAAGGTAATATTATGCATGTAAATCCATATCCAATCACATCCTCAGTAATTACTAGTATATAAGAATAAATATGGAATAAATAATTAATTCTTTATACCTGTCCTTATGCTTGTGCACTTGTTTAATATGCTTTCCATGTCAACAATTGGATACTCCCAACATTGTTCTTTGTATCTAATAAATAACTCAAAATGATCTTAAACCACCATCCTTTCAGTTTAACGCTTTCAAGTGCGTTCATGATATTCAAAGTCGTAAGGGAGTATAAATGAGTGATCTGTGCAACATGTGCTCTATTTATGTTGTTTCTACTTGTGTTTATATTTTACTGATTTGTTTTAATCATTTATTTTTGCCTATGCAGGGCTGTTGATAATCAGGTATTCTATTTACTTCTTCTATTTAACAGTATTTCTGTCTACATTCATCTCATGAGTCATAACCATTTTTTTTTCCAATAAAATTTGTTGTCTATCTCGACGATGCTAATTTTCTTAGTTGGGATGAAATTTTGAACTCAGTACAGACTTACAGTTTTAGAATTTACTGATATTTTCATGATCATCTGTTTTATTATACATTCCAACCTGGTTTCTCGAGGTTCTTGAGAGAACTGCACTGTTTCCATTGTTCCTATGCTGGCAACATGAGAAGAAGCACTGACACAGACATGGGTATGGACGTGGGACACACTGATTTTGAAAAAAATTAGGATACAAACATGACGGGGATATGCTATGAAGCATGTGTGCGGGTATGTATACTAGTACTGGTACATTATGGGATCGCCGATATGACAAGACCTAAAAAAATAGGGTATGGCTACAACTGGGGTACGTCAATAAATTTTTTATTTTTTATAATTTATAGTTTGAGATTCAATCTACAAATTAAACTTCAATACCAAAACTAAAAGGAGAATTACAAAACTAAAAAAGAAATCATAGTTCAATAATATCAATACCAAAACAAAGTCAATAAATTATTTTAATGACATTAAATAGGAAAATTTACAAAACAAAGTTTCATTCAAAAAAACAAGCTAAGCAAAATTTGAAAACTTGAAACTTCAATTTTCACTTTTATCAATTTCATCATTGAATAATACGTCATTTATCCCTGACACATCAAGTAAAGGATTTGCAATTTCAAGTTAATCAGAACTCTCTAATAAATGAAATGTATCTACACTAATGTCTCATAACCTGGTGTACCCCTCCCGTAGCCACTGAATACCCATGGAGTACCCAACTATCAAAAAATGTATAAAAAGTACCCGATACGTATTTTGAGTATCGGGTGCGCATATAGCCCTATCGGTACGCGTACTATTATCTAGTACGAGTATGGCAACATTTTCAGAGTACCCGTGCTTCATAGGGGATATGGAATATATATATATATATATTTATAAGAGTCTTGATACATGGATGCACCTGTTTTGTTTTTTTTTTCTCCCACTTTCCTCCCTCTTTGTTTATATATATATATATATTTACTTTGACTCTAAATCAACTTTCTAAATTTATAAAAAGAACCCAAAAAGGTGTTATGAGGGTTGTGCAAACACGGGACATGTGTGTCCATGAAATGTTCCCAACGTGTCTTGCAAAAACATAAGCAAAAAAATCAACATGTGGACATGCGTGTCCATGGTGTGTTGGTGTTTGATACGTCTTAGACATGTAATGCAACGGAATGCACATGGAAACTAGATATCGTTCTGGTAGATAAAATGGGCTCTTGAATCTACGAGAAAGATAAAATGTTGAATCTACATGGAAGAGAAATTATGAATGTTATTGATCAAAAGTTATTTTGCCTTTAGTCTTGCATAGCTAACCAAGCAATTTAAATTCAGGAAACAATTGACTAGTCTAATTCTTGGAAAACAAGTAGCCTAAAAATTAAGAGGGGTAACTTTTGCCTTTAGGCTTGCATAGCTAACCAAGCAATTTAAATTCAGGAAACAATTGAGTAGTCTAATTCTTGGAAAACAAGTAGCCTAAAAATTAAGAGAAGAGAGCGGGCATAGCTAACCAAGCAATTTAAATTCAGGAAACAATTGAGTAGTCTAATTCTTGGAAAACAAGTAGCCTAAAAATTAAGAGGGGGGGGGGGGGGGGGGAATCAAGACAAATTAAGAAACCTAATCATTCGAAAATATTTATACTAAATTACAACCTTCTTAACAAAATACTATTTACAAAATATTAAAAATAAAATTAGAGAAATTTCTAAAATCTTGTCTTAACTACTCTTCTTCGAAAGAACTTGAACTTGAGTTCGAACTAGAGATCTGCTATCTTCCATGTCAAATAAAATGATACTTGGAATACTTTAGTTGTTTGTTCATCTTCCAAAAATTGTTTACAAAAAAGTGTACCTTCCAAAGCTCTTTTATGTATGCTTCAATTGGTTGACAAGATCAACTAGACGACCTTTGGGAATCAAATTAAATTGTTCCACCCCAAGAAAATCAACATAATGTATTTTATGTTGACATTGCATGTTCTCATGACTTTTCATTGTCTCTGATTCGGTTGAGCCTTTAGTTATCGACCTTGGAACGTCAAATACATCCCCAATTAGTTAGTTGGTTGCATGAGGAGACTCTATTACCTTATCTTCTATTTCCTCTTTGTCATTAGCATTATGCTTCACCTCCTTGAATACATCATTATTTTGGTACCACAAAGTCCCACATTGACCAATATTGTTCTATTGAAATTTGATAATTTCCTCTTCAACTGGGCTAATATATTTGTTCTTCACATTCTCTTTGATATTCAATGCTGTTCTTGTTCATCAGCATCAATATTGTTCCTTACATTTGGTTCGACTATGATGACTTCCATTGCTTCTTCAACAATTTCAACCTTTTCACTGTTATCAATTTCAACTCGATCGTCTATTTTCATTGAGTCTCTCTGTGGGTCTTCAAATTTTTCAAACATTGGAGTACTTGAAATCTTCTCTTTCGATGTTTGGTTGACCATGCACACTTGACAAACCCACTGCCTTGTTCCGTGAATAATCTATATCCACTGTCACATAATAGTTATCAAAGTGCGAAAAATATGGTGAATCAAAATTACCTTGAAATAATTGTTTCGATTCAAGCCTCTGATATTGTTGGTACAACAGCTGTCCATAAATTGATTGAAGGAATTTGGCACTCATCAACTTCTTCATCTTGTGCCATGTCCTACTGGGTTGTTTATATTGTCGTGTTCGATCATATTGCAATTGCTCCCACCATGTAGAAATATAACCTTGCAACTTACGTGCAACATATCTTGCTTACTTTTCTTCAGGGATTTTCATATACTCAAAGAATTCGTCAACTTTACGGAACCAATAAATAAAATCCTTAGCATAGAAACAAGCATTAATATTAGGAATGTCTGGTTTTACCTAATAATTTGTAAAGCCATGATTCATTGCGATTATGCCTTTTGAACATGTCACAGATTTTTCTCTGTTGCCTTACCAACTGATATTCACCAGAATCTTTGATTCACTCATTTTTCAGATTGATTTGTCACTATCGTTTTGATAACAAGAAGATCATCTCAAGATGTTTTGGGCAAACACCATTGCGCGATTCCTATTAACATTGTGATTCACAAGCTGGCCTTGGGAAATTCCCTTGGCATGGATCCTGTTAAATATTTCCCTACGATCTGCGTCAATAGGGCTTGTCCTTCCTACTTTGATGAATGACATCGAGCCAGACAAATCCTTGGTTTGATACCACTTGATGGAACGCAATACACATGAAAACTAGATATCGTTCTAGTAGACGAAATAGGTTGTCAAATCCACGAGAAAGATAAAACCTTGAGTCCACAAGGAAGAGAAATTATGAATATTATTGATCAAAAGTTATTTTGCTCTTAGGCTTACATATTTATTTATAGTAAGTCTTAGAGACCAAGCAATCTAAAATAAGGAAACAATTAACTAGTTTAATTCTTGGAAAAAAAGTAACCTAAAAATAAAAAAACAAAATCAAACAAATTAAGAAACTTAATCATTCCAAAATATTTATACTAAATTACAAGCTTCCTAACAAAATACTATATAAAAAATATAGAAATTTCTAAAATCTTGTCCTACATCACATGGGCATGACATCATTTTGGAGTGTCCGTGCTCTCTAGCTGGCAACTAATTGTGGTGTATCAACCAACTTGGTGTATGAACCTCCCATATTATAATATTAACATTTTGTTCAACGGAGACTAGTACTTTCATAGGTTTCAGCAGAAGAACTAATAGCAGTAGAATCTTATAAAAGATTGAATTAGTGCTCCACCAGACAGCTAGAACAAGGTGCTGAAACTCACTAAGATTTCCATGTTAAGAGAAAACAATTGTGATTTTGTAACCCCACTTCTTTTGTAAAAGTTAAAGAACATTGGCAAATGCCTGACCATTCCACTAAGAAAACCATAAAATATTCTTTCTTAGCAGCTTCCTCTGTATTTGAATAGTTCAAACCACACAAGACCAAATAGCTGACAGTATGGCTGCAACTCTGTAAACATGTAAATTAACCTACTTAATAAAAGTAAATTTCCTAGGAAAGGACACACTGTTTTAGCATTTGTTGGACATATCAAGTTCGGCTATTTCTTTGAAGCATTGCAATTCCAAATTGGAGAAATCAAATATCATTAGCTTAACATCTGAATATTTTTCTTCTGTGTGACAGTCACACTCTCAACTTGCCAAAGCTGTTGTAAAACACTGGTGTATGCCTAGCATTTGAAGAGAGGGGTGGGGCTAATTTAATTAAATATTTCTTATGGTTGTCCATATAGTGTATGCATATAAAGTTCTTTCCACATAGTGGGCCTAAGGTTTTAATTCAATATTTCTTACTGTTGGCCATATAGCATACATGTATAAAGTTCTTTGCCCATTGCCTTTTGCTTTTTTAAAGATATTTTAAAGTGTACTTGTAGAAAAATTTCTTTTGTGACAGTTATATGTTGCAACTTGTTCACCTGCTCGTGATGCTGGTGCTGTTTATGTTGCTTGGGGCCACTCCACACTTGTTGGACCCGTAAGTAAATACATCAACTGAGCTTTCTTGCATACTATTGGTGAATATATTATAGCTAGGGCCAGAGCCATAAATTTTGGTTAGGGGCTGCCAAGGTAAGTGCACCAAGAACAAAATTTGAGTTTATTGGTACATCGTTACTATTAGAAGACAATTTTTACATTAGTGTTATGGAATAAATATTTTATTAGAGGAAATTAAATAAATCTATTACACTCATTTCTTATTAATTTTCAATTATTTTATTTAGTTTTTGAGCTATCTAATTAGGATCTTACTAACCACCATTTTAAAGCATTTTATTGGTTGATATAATTGACATCTCAATGGTTTCTGTAACTAAATAATCACAACAAATTACATTTACATCTTGTACAAAGCAAATCAATGGAATTGATGCTGTTATGTAATACATGAAATAGTTGGGCCCCCATAAAATTATACATTGAAGGAACACTTGTGAAATAGCGTGCTAGTATGGGAATTTTTGAAAAAAATTGAGGGGGCTATGGCCACCATTGGCCTATTAATTGTTCAGTCCTTGATTATAGCTATATCCATTCCTCTGCAAACAATTCCCCTATTCAGCAGATGGATGGTAGATTAGTTAAAGCCTGAGATTTAAACTGTGATTTGTCATTTATTTTTCTTTGTTTTTTTGTAAATTTCAACATCAACTAAGTCCTTACTCATAGAAATGAATGTGGCAGTTTGGAGAAATTTTGGTTACTACGGAACATGAAGAGGCCATAATCATATCAGAGGTTGATTATTCACAAATTGAGCTCAGGAGGTGAATAACTGTCAACCTGAAAGATAGTTTTTATTTTAATGATAGTTTTTAGTTTAAACATGCTTTATGCTTTCCTTTTGCTTTGTTTGCTTGTTTTAAATGTGGAGCAAATTTACAAACCAAAAAAGGAATTTGGTTTCTGGTCTCTTTCTACTGTATTGTTTATCTATTTGATAAGTAGATTTTGATACTACAAGCTACATGTGAAGGTAAATACAATGTAATGTATGCAGGAGAACTAAATAAAGGAAGGAAAAAAAAAAAAAAAAAGTGCTCCCCGGAAAAACCAATTCCCTTAATATTTCTACAAAACCACATCCAGATTCCAAGTTCTAGAGCTCCAAAATTGTTGTCTATGACAACAAAATTTTCAGTTAATGCACCAAGATCTCAGATTCCTTGATATTTGCCAATTCTTCTCTTTTTAGATCACCATAAGACAAAGGGGTTGCTTGCTGTGCATCCCTTAGCATCCTACTAGAACAGTCCCATATGCTGCCAAACCACCTTGGCATAACCCAATGAATGCCCATCTTAGATTGCTGCCACCAGCTGGCCACTCGTTCCTGAAATATGGTAGCAACTATGGGAACTCGCTTATTTTTTGGCACCTCTTTGAACTCCAGCACCTTTTCCACTACATTAATCCAATCCTTCTTCTTTTTTCTTTTTTATTTTTTCCCCACAACCCTTCTTGGAACTCAGGAATATCAATCTTAATTGCTGATTCCCATCACCTTGAATCTCCGCTACGGTTCATTGGTCTCCCTTCCTTAGACCATGGAGGCGTTTGACCTCTACTTTTCCCTTTGGTTTTCTTTTTGTTCATATTCTCCAGAGCAATTAAGGGAATAAAACTTTATTCTCACTGATATTAGGAGCCTTATTCTCTGTCAAAATTTCCTTCCTTGCATCATTTCCAATTTCCCACGTGGGAATTTTCAGCCAATTGATCTTGTCTCGAGCTTGTTTCATTATCAGTAATAGCATGACCTGAGAATATGAATCTTGAACCCCAAACATCTGGTTTGCTGTCTGTTGCTCTTCATGTTCAGTATTTTTGTGACTAACATCAGCCCTACACTGACCCTCCAAATTGCTATTTTCAGTAGGGATTGATCTATCACCAGAGTTTGCATTGCCAACTGAAATGACTTGTTTTCCAGTAATAGTTTCCAACTTTTTCCCCTTACAGTGTTCCAGCTCCATTTTTTCCTTCCATTGAGTGACTATCTTCTTTTCTCATGGATGATGATTATGACCATAGATTTCACATTTAGAACACCCTAATGATTTCCATGGATAAGTTGCAGTAATTTGAATACTTTTCACAATTGGAAATTGCACTTCAATCTCAACAGGATATTTATAATCTGTATTTACTTCTTGCAGATATTTTGAAAAACTCTGTGATGGAGAACCAGATTAGCAGATAGGGAGGGAAACACAAACAGACACACCTTTTTACTCTCAATAATACTAATCCATCAACTGATCATTACAATGTTAAAACCCTATTACCTATAGGACTAAAACCCTAATCTTATTAGGAACTTTCCTAATATTGTTTGGGAAACAAAATCAAATCACATACTAATACGAAGTAATTAATCTAACTTAATGCCGATAATAATATTCTACCAATTACATTTATGAGACCAAAACACCTTTGGACCCACGGGTTTTACCCTAGGCTTCCAAATCCAATAATGGGCTTCTAAAGAGTCAAGGACTGCACTGTGCTGTTACTCAGTCTTTTGCATTGCTCAGTTAGTATATCTGCATACAAAGGTCTCCCAACTGCACGTTCAACATAGCTAAGACCACCTTCTGTTCATAATTCCAGTGGAATGTTGTAAAAGTGAGCCCAAACATGGATTCTATCAACCTTCTTTTAGACTTTAAAATTATGTAAAATTATACATATTCTCCTCTTTTAGACTTTAAAATTTCGACTTAAATATATATACATGACATAATAAATATTTATCATTATATGATACATAATAAATGTATATTTTGTACGGGTCCCCCACATGTTGTGTCTTACATATTTTGAAAATTTTCATGTCGGCATGTCTGTGTCATGTCACGTGTCCATATTGTGCTTCTTAGGCTCTAGTATATCAATGATAAAGGGGTGTACCTAGCGCACGAAGCTCTCGCTTAAGTAGGGTCTAGGGAAGGGTTGATGTACGTAGCCCTACCCCCGCAAGCGGAGAGGCTGTTTTCGCTTTGGTATATCAATGATATTCATCGATATTCCATTAATCTCAGACAGTTAACCAGTATGATTTTCCTCCATTGTTATTTGACTATTAACATCATATTAAGACTTGCAGTTCATCGTTGCTCCATAAGTTTCATCAATTTGAATGGCTAGGGTTTCCTGCATTACTAAGCCATCAGATTCCTCTTTGAAAGCTTCACAATTCTTTGAACCTGAGAGTTGAGAACTATAAGTAGGGAAATTGATCTCAAATGTAGAACCGGCCTTCTACTTCAAGGCATCCTCCCTGACCTCCATTGATTGGGACACATTACCAACATCATCCACATCATCAGGTGTCCAATCCTGCATTGCCTTCAGGTGTGTTGGGTTTATGGATTTGGGGAGAGATTTGGAAAGGGAAAGGAACGAAGGTGAAATGCAGTTATATTTCATTCATATTTCACCTACCTTTTCTTTTCCCTTTCCCTTTACCTTTCCAAATCCATCCCCAAATCCATGATCCAAACCCAACCTTAATGAAAAAGAGGCACTCAGAATTCCCATTTCTGTGAATGTAATCTTTTGTATACCCCCTTACTTGGTAAAGGCAACAGTAAAAAGGGCCAGGAACACTTATTTTAAATGAGTATTCAGGATGCCCAGTATTTCCTACTGTTTGGGGCCACTTTTGAATATAAAGGAATTACGAAAACTCACAAAGTTTCAAACACACTTTTGAACATATTTTTCTGGCAAAAGAAAAGTTTCTCACAGAGTTTTGTTTTCTTTTTAAATCATTCAATTGTTTTACACTTAATTCTATCATTGTTTGATTACATATATACATATATATTCAGGACAAGCCTTCCATTGGAGAAGCAACACCGAGGTGATCTTTATCAGTTGGTGGATGTTCAGAGGCTCAACTCCTGAACAATAATACTAGTTGATTTTATTTGATGCATGGAAGAGATTTCATCAGTGAGATGGTATGTACAATAATGTCTAGTATTTGATATTTTGTTGTAATTGAGATTTGTAAGGTTCTGCCTTACCATGTGAAGAACTGAATTCTGAAAATGTATGCAGAAACTATAATTTCTAGCAGAAAAGATTGTTAGTTCCTTGGTTTTCATAGGTTGCATACTTTTATTTTTGTGTGACTACATACTCTCTTTTGGAAAATTGGTTGGTATATATCTATATGTATTCTATTACATAAAGCAAAAGGTTGAGTCACTGTAAAATAAATAAGTTGTTTATGTTTTAGCAATATGCAATTGCTACCTTATCTGACAACTACCACATTTAAAGGTATGAGTATTTTTTGGGCATAAAGATAGACGATGGAATTATCTACGACTAAATTACTACAATTACTTACCTTTTATTATACAGGCATGAATTTAGAGGTTCAAGAATTGAAGAGGAGGAAGACCTACTGTAGCCATACAATTACTTACCTTTTATTATACAGGCATGAATTTAGAGGTTCAAGAATTGAAGAGGAGGAAGACCTACTGTAGCCATGTTAGTTGGTTACTAACACCACTTTGAAATTTTTGTAGTCATATCGTTAATAAAGAATTGTGTAGTTAATTTTTTGTAGTACATGTTATGCCAGCAATAGGTAATCCTTAGAAAACTGGAACTATCCAATTCAATATGTAGAACTAGAATGCAAGTTGCGTCATTGTTTGATTCCCCACAAATGGGAAGTCTCCAAGCTTGTCCTTTCTCACACGAGGCAACTGGCTGGGGAAAGAACCTTTAAGGTTCTTCACCTTAATACAGTAAGAAGAGCCCCAACTATCCCACTTTAGGCCATGTTGTTCAGTTTCCAGGCACTGACACTTATTTGCGATCGCATGTTCATTAACTTCCCTCAAAGTAAGCCATGCCTTTCTTGGGTTTGTAATGCCCCCATATATGGGGGCACATCTCATTAGCTATAGACACTATGATCGCATGCATAGCCCTACCAGAACAATAGCTTCTTCTCGCCACATCCTATGATTCACCTTTTGCACCACTAAAAATTATCCAACATTCTTGGCCATCAAATACTTTACCTCTTCACTCCAATTTACATAATTTTCGCCATGTTGGAGTGAGCGGCACACAATCGACAAGCCAGACATTATTTCCAATGCCAAAAACAAAAAATCATTTGACGATCTGATTCTGGAGGAGAATACGTTTTTGACAACTTTCGTTATTGGGTTAGCTATACGCTACACATGTTTCTAGTGATTCAAATGGCATTATCAAATGATACAAGTCTTGGATAAGAATCTACAACGCACTAGAGAGCCTTTGTTGATGATTCTGTACTCTGACAACATCAAAGGTTCCTCGAACAATGTGATATCTCACACCAGGTAAATCCTTAACCCTTTCCCTCATACTAAGACTGCATAATGTTATTATGAATTAGGGCCAATACTAGGTATATAAGCAGTGATTTCAAATCCAGAGGTTAATCGTACTTTGACAACTTTACATAAGGCTGAGTTTGTTTTTTAGGGGTGATAGTAGAAAAGTTGACAGATAAGTCACCTTTACTGCCACTCTACAGAACCGTACATGAGATTTTCACCTCATACGGTCGCCGTTCAATTCTTTCGAAGTCATTGGATCATTTTCCTCGTTTGAAAATCTCCTCCTTTCTTCCACTCTGTCCCGATAGGACCAATTTAGACATGTTTTCATGTTCTAATTGAACATTTTCTAATTTTTTTTTTCTTTTCTTCTTCTCAAAGGAGAATATTATTCTCTTTACCAAACATATGCGGCTCCAATCACAATCTTATAATAAGAACAAGAGATCTATCTCGATCAATCTCTCTGCCCCTCATTCTTTGAGAATCAGAAAGATCATTTTCCAGTTTGAATTTGTTCATTTGCAATCTGGGCTCTTCTACTTCATTTTTATTTACTTATTTTTTTTATTTGATATTTTTTAATATTTTGCCTCTCTTTTTTTATATCATTCCTTAAGTCCCATAGGTTTGATCCGGTAGATTTTGACTCATTTTCTCATTGAGCAAGGGGTATGAAATAAATCAGATTAATTTTTTGACCAAAAGTATTATGTGAAATCTTTGATTTTTTCTTCTTCCTCTATCCCTATACCATGGGTACAGTGTTTGAATCAATAGAGAACTTTTTCTTTTGTATGAATCAATATTCTTACAATTCCTTCCCGATACCTCTCAAGGAAAATCTCGAATTAGATCCCAAATTGACTGGTTAGTGTGAGCTTATCCATGCGGTTATGCACTCTTCGAATATGAATCCATTTTCTGAAAGATTTTGACTTTCGTGCTTTGGTGGGTCTTGGAGATCCTTTTGATGACCAATGTTTGTTGAAGGGATATTTATATAATTCGATCGATTGCGTAAAGCCCACGGTAGCAACATAATCGGGGGAAGGATACAAAAAAGACTATTCTTTTCTATTCTAGTGGAACATCTTTCACAATCCTTGGAGCGATGGTTCACTAATAAATCGAGGGATAAGTAATTCGACTCATTCACATCCAGATCATGAATGTTTGGAATTCATATTATACAAGAAGACATTTAGCAGCTTTAGCTCCGTATCAAGGTCATGATCGATATCATCACTATCATCAATATCGTTACTAGCATCAATATTGTCACTATCATCAATAAGAAACCCTTTAGGCTGGTTATCTAGGAACTTGTTTAGAAATACCGTAATGAAAGGAACATAGGAGTTTCTCGCTAGGTATTTAACCAAATAGGATAGTCCGGTTCCTATAGAACCTATCACTAAAATACCCCTAGAGAGGGATAAGGTTAAGCGGAGCGAACATGGTTTTTCATGAGATGGGAAATGAAAACAATTAGCCTCACACGAGGTTTGTGAATAGGTGATTGTTTGATAATGAGCAAGGGATATTTGTCTTTTTGCTAAACAGGATGTATTGAACTCATAATTCATTAGATACTTTTTATGAATGTCAATTAAGTATCGTATGTAAATTGCTCAAGGTTGTTCAATCATTTTAAAACTAGAGCCATTCTTTGATAAATGCTCACTATGAGTCCGATTCAATAGAATTTGATCAATCTTTTTTTCTATCGTTAAGGTGGAGAATTGAACCAAAATTCTCTTTCTTCATCATCAATTTAATCACTGTTTGTGACCCAGGATTCTATTTTGTCGTCAATTCAATCCCCATTCACATTTTTTCTTTTTCTTATCAATGAATAGATATCTTTAGTTGTATGACTTAGATCTCTCGTATTTCTTGAAAAAGTGATTCGATTGATGGGATTTAGTATGATACTTATGAGATCGATGATATTTATGAGATTTATATTTAAATATTTCTTATTAGAACGTATTGATTTGACCCCATAAGCGGGACCACCATCCAATAGCATGTTGCCGTTAGAAGCAATACCTCGTATTTCTTCTAGAGAATTTTCTAATTGTTCTGGAGCAACTAGAAAGAGACTCTTTAACCAAAACGAAATCGGTTAAGATGTAGGATACCTATATGCATTAATTTAATGGTTCAACTATTGAAAAGGAGGAAGACCTACTAGAGCCACATTAGTTGGTTACTAACACCACTTTGGAGCATAACTGAAAATCACTTTGGTTATTGTAGCACCCGTATCCTTCAAAGCTTATGGGAAAGTGTATTCAAATCCTTTATTTTTATTTTGGAAATCTTTGGTGTTGTTATGAGTTGGTTTTGGAGGAGTACAATTCGATTTAAACTTATTGGGTTTAGTTGTTTGCACTTATTCTTGTCAAAAGTTCCTTGGAGACTTAGAAATTCTATTCTAGGGTCAACACCAGCCTTCCTAAGGGTCGACCCTTACCTGTTGGTGAAGTTTCTGGAAGTATTGCTGGAAAATAGAGTAGACACCAGACTGGGGAGGGTCGACCCTCTTATGTCTGTGTGTTAGTTGCTGGAAAATAGGGTAGACACCAGACTGGGGAGGGTCGACCCTCTTATGTTTGAGACTATTATGCATGCAGAGGAAGAGAGAATGACAGGCTCCAGGAGGAGTCAGGATGGTCAGGGAGACAGTAAGAGGCAGAGGGGTTCTAACCCTCAGCAGTCCCAGGGAGCGCATTCGAGATCTACCTTTTCAGTGCTGAGTTCAGGTTCTGGGAGAGGTGGTTAGGGAGACATCACTTGTTACAAATGTGGCCAGTTGGGCCACAAGTCTCCAGCTTGCCCGCAGAGGAGAGGAGGGCAGCGAGCAGCTTCATCTTCGGCCCGCTCTCAGGGCTAGAGTCAGGGTAGAGACCAGCCGCTCACTTGTTATCAATGTGGGCAGGTGGGGCACTTGAAGAGGTTTTGTCCACAGTTGGGTGACACACCTGGTGCGTCTAGTTCGAGGCAGACACAGAGTCACTAGCCAACTCAGTCGGTATAAGCCTTGAGGGCCAATCAGGGAGCTTTTTCAGCTCAATTAGTGCAATAGTCTTATGCTCCAAGAGGTGAGCAGGTAGATTAGAGACCTATGGGGCGCGTGTATGCTGTTACCGCGCCAGATCTTGTACCGGCTCCATCTGTTGTGAGAGTTACCTTTTTGTTTTGCAGCTCAGTTGCTAATGTGTTGATTGATACGGGTGCATCCCATTCATTTATTTCATCTGCATTTGCATCTATTTTGGGGTTGGAGTGGGCACAGTTAGCATCTCCTTTATGTGTTGTATCACCTGTTGGGGGTGAGATGATTTTGAAACAGGGGTGTCAGGATTGTGATATAGAGGTCGTCGATCGTCAGCTTCCCTTTTCTTTTGTGTTAATGGATATGATTGGTTTTGATGTTATTTTGGGTATTGATTGGTTATTGTCATACCGGGCTGTTATAGATTGCTACCGTCAGAGGATTACTGTATGTACCTTGAGCGGCGATTGTTTTCATTTCTTGGGGGATCGGGTTGGTAGAGTTTTTACCACCGATGTATGATCCGCGCATGTGGAAATGATCTGCGCATGTGGAATGAGCTTAGTTACCTTCTCGTTAGCTTTATGGGTAGTGAGTGTGATGAGGTCCAGATTGAGTTGCCAATAGTGGTTTGTGAGTACTCGGATGTCTTTCTCGATGATCTTATTAGTTTACCACCCCACCGAGAGATCGAGTTCTTTATTGAT